TCATAAATTTACTAGAGATTATCTCTTTTGAATTATACAGATCAAAATTTTAAATTCTGCTAATATATAAAACTACTTTAATTTAAAGTTTCAATTCATGAATAGAAACTGCATGATTTACGATTTTTCATTCCAAATTTGGTACTAAAATAAAATTACTCTAAGTTTAATTCCTGTTTTATATAAGTATATAAATTAATTATTTATAAACCGGTTTTGAAAATAACAGTACCATATTTTTTATTGTAAATCGATATTTTTGATGCATCCTGATTGGTTGGTCGATCTATTAGTAAAATTTCACGAAGAACATTTTTAATTAGGCCGCAGAAGGTGTTTCCGAATTAAAATTTTTGTTTTATTTAAAAAGGTGGCGCTAGTAATGTGCCACGTACCGTATTTCGCGTAATAGCGGGCCGGGCGTTAATTCGGCTTTTGATTTTTTAAAAAATTAAGTTTTTTAACGTGCACCCACCTTATATAGCATAGCATATTCAAATAATTTCAAGTAGAAAGTCATGAGAATTTTATTTTCAACGAAATGAAAATAAAACCAATCGAAGAGAATCAAATGAAACTTATATTTATTTAATTTTCATTCACTAACTAACAAAATAAATTTTCTCATACAACAAAAATCAAAGAAAAATCGTAAAATTGTAACAGTATGAGAACGACTAATACTGCTAATTTGACATTATCGCCAACATTTAAAACAATCGTATTCTTCTGTCTCTCATTAGTAATTTCTGGTACTGATATTTAACAATGATTCTAATTCCTGAATCCTATTTCTTAAAAGGCTAAGGTCGATCTCTCTTTCGTCTAACAATGATTCTAATTCCTGAATTCTATTTCTTAAAAGGGTAATTTGTGAATGAAGGTCGTTTTCTCTTTCGTCTCTTCTTCTTAGTTCGCGTTTGTGCTGTGCTATGGCAAAATTATATTTTCTTTCTGTATAATTTCTTTTATCTATTGCATCATTCATCTACAAAAATGTGAATAAAAATATATTAGAATTTTTTAAAAAAGTTTATTCAAAGTTTTAAAACTATTAAAATTTACTTTTATTGCGTTTCGACTACTTTCAGCTTCTGCTATTTTAAAATTATCTCTTAATGTTCCAATTTTACAAGTTAATTCTACAATCTTTTTTATAAAAATATGAAAATCTATTAACAATGATCTTCATTTCTTGTGCTTCTTATTGAATAAAAAAAAATTTACTTGCTCTTCTAGGTCATTTATCAATTTAATCCTTTTTTCATTGGCCAAGTTTAGTTCTGCAACTTTTCTTGTCAAGTTATCGATATCTGCATCCTTTTGGATAATTTCAGTTTGTATCTGTAAGTTTTGGGAATTCAAATATAAATCTTCGTCATTTAAATCTGCATCATTTTTTTATTTAAGCAGCTCAAGTTTATTTTTAACATCTTTAAGCTCATTTTCAAGATGACTGATTTTTTCGAGTAAACTGGATAAAGCAATAGATAATAAGTAATTAATAATTAATTAATAATAACTTTAAAATACAATTAATAAATAAAAAGACACCATTTGATTTCGTCATCGCTCTTTTTTTTTAAATTATTATAATCTGAATAAATCGTTTGAAAAAATTTTTTTAAATTGGTAAACCATTGAATTTCAACGTCAAAAATAAATTTGTCTTTTTTGGGTGCATTGAGCTTTTGATTACAGAGAATCTTCAAATATCCATCAATTTTTTTAATTAGATGGGACTTATTATATAATCTTTCATTTCTTCTGTCTTGTCTAGTTTGAACTTGAACATCTTGATCTTAAACATTTTGCGCAACTTGTCATTTTAATGTTGTCTTATGAATCCTTATGACATGTCTATTTAGATCTTTAAAATGTAATCCGCATTTAGGACATCTTGGTTTTCTACTTGATTTACCATGATTTCATGAAGGAGACATGGTGTTTTTTTTTTTGTTATTTAGAACTTTTAGGACTATTTATATCAGATCGTTCTAAAAAAAGTGACCTTAGAAAAATTGTAAATAACATAAAAGCCACCATTTAATTTAAAGATCTGTATTAATTATGATGTATTTATAAAACTAGTTTAAACGAATAATATAAAAAAATTTTAACAAAAATTTCAAATGAATATTGGCTTACATCACATCACTAATTCAAAATATTGTTGATAATAAAAACATTAAAGTAATTATTTATGTTATGCGGGTTCATATATCACCTCTATATAAGCACCTAATTTGTTAAGGTACTATAAATATATAAATCTCAATATATGAGTTGATCAACTACTTGCTTTTCTACACTATCAATTGAACGAACTTTTATACTAGGGGAGGTTTATATAATTACATTTCTTTTATTTTTATACTTCCGGATATTCACTTATATACATTCGTTTTTGATTTATAATTCGGAAATTTGATTCATATCGAATCAGATCTGTCAGGTACCCGTGTCGTTGGGATGTTATCAACTTGGAGTAACATATGGGCGTGAGTCAATAGAAATTAAGCAAATTTTTTATAATAAAATTTTTTTGAAACTTTGAACAGAAATAACTTAACAAAAATTTCATCAAATTTGATAAAATTTTTTTAAAATTAATTTTTTAAACTTATAGAATTAACTTAAAAAAATTTTATCAAATTTGATCAAGTTTTTGTTAAGTTATTTTGATTTAAACTTTAAAAAAAGGTACTAAAAAAATTTGCTTGATTTCTATTGACGGCAGCCCATATGATGATAAATTCGAATGAAATTTTATACTAAGGGAGGGAGGTTTATATGATTATTTCTTTCATTATACTTCCAGATATTTACTTTATACATTTTCGTTTCTTAGAGAAAATTTTGATTCATAATTTTGGCAATTTGATTCATATCGAATCAGATCTGTCAGGTATCCGTGTCGGGATATCAAGCTTCGGCAATTTTATTTTTAACAAGATTAAATCTGTCAGACATCCATGTCGCGATTTTATCACTTGGTAGTATATGATGATAGATTATGTAAAAGTAGTTGTACAATTCTAATCACTAATATTCTGTTACTTTAAGAACTGACAAAAAGAAAAGAAGCAGAAAGAATCATATCAAATAACAAGAAGTTTCTATTCTATCAATCGAACAAACTTTTATACTAAGGGAAGTTTTTCTTATTATTTCTTTCATTTTTATACTTCCGGTATTCACTTTATACATTCATTTCTTAGGGAAATTTGATTCATAATTTCGGCAATTTTATTCATATCGAATCAGATCTGTCAGGTATCTGTGTCGGGATATCAAACTTCGGCAATTTGATCTTTAACAAGATTAAATCTGTCAGACATCTGTGTCGAGATGTTATTAAATTGGTAGTAATCGTATATGATGATAAAAGTGTTTGTACAATTCTAATCAATCACTCTCACTAATATTCTGAGCGGTTGCTTTCAAAAACTGGCAAAAAGAAAAGTGTCAAATAACAAGAAGTTTCTATCAATCGAATGAACTTTTATACTAAGAGAAGTTTTTTCTTATTATTTCTTTCATTTTTATACTTCCAGATATTCACTTTATATATTCGTTTCTTAGAGAAATTTTGATTCATAAATTTGGCAATTTGATTTATATCGAATCAGATCTGTCAGATATCTGTATTGGGATATCAAACTTCGGCAATTTGATCTTTAACAAGATTAAATCTGTCAGACATCTGTGTTGGGATGTTATCAACTTG